TATAGAGATTTTAAAATCATTTTTAATAATTGTTCCCAGGGTCTCCTGGGTGGCTCAGTCAGTTGTGTCTGACCTTTTTTTTTTTTCTTTTCCCCCCCAAGGAAATACTTTAATTAAAAGGGGATAAAGTGGCGACATCTGGGTGGCTCAGTTGGTCAAGCATCTGCCTGTGGCTCTGGCCACAATCCTGGGGTTCTGGGATTGAGCCCTGCATAGGGCTCAAGTGTCTGACTCTTGATCTCAGCTCAGGCTTTTTTGTTTGTTTGTTTGTTTGTTTTTAAAGATTTTATTTATTTATTTGACAGATAGAGATAACAAGTAGGCAGAGAGGCAGGCGGGGGGGCAGGGGAAGCAGGCTCCCCGCTGAACAGAGAGCCTGATGTGGGGCTAGATCCCAGGACCCTGGGACTATGACCCAAGCCGAAGGCAGAGGCCTTAGCCCACTGAACCACCCAGGCGTCCCCTCAGCTCAGGTTTTAATCACAGGGTTGTGAGTTGTTCCCAGATGGTTCTTAAATTATTTTTATTATTTATTTATTGTTAATGGATAAATGGGTGTTTAATTGTTACCCATCTTGAACTGTCAATTTACATCATACAGACTTTTTTCTTTATCTTTATCTTTTTTCTTTATCTCACTATATTAGTTTCCTTGGGCTGTTAAACAAATTGTCACAAAGCAGGCATCTTAAAATAACAGAAATTTAGGGATGCCTGGGTGGCTCAGTTGGCTAAGCCACTGCTTTCAGCTCAGGTCATGATCCTAGGGTTCTGGGATCCAGTCCTGCATGGGGCTCCTTGCTCAGCGGGGAGCCTGCTTCTCCCTCTGCCTACTCTGTCTGCCGCTACCCCTGCTTGTACTCTGTCTCTCTCTCTCTCTCTCTCTCTGACAAATAAATAAATAAATAAATAAATAAAATCTTTAAAAACAACAACAACAGAAATTTATTCTCACACTTCCGGCAGCTAAACCAAGATGTGGGTGGGGCCATGCTCCTTTCAAAGGCTCTGAGAGAAAATCCTAGGACAGTAGTATAGATCTACACATTTCAGGAATAACTTTTCTGCTTATTTGAGTGTTTGTCATTTTTAAAAGAAAAATGTCGTGGATTTTATTTTATTTTTATTATTGTATTTTTTTTAAGATTTTATTTATTTATTAGTTAGAGAGAGAGAGAGAGAGAGCATGAGCACAGGCAGACAGAGTGGTAGGCAGAGGCAGAGGGAGAAGCAGGCTCCCCGCTGAGCAAGGAGCCCGATGTGGGACTCGATCCCGGGACGCTGGGATCATGACCTGAGCCAAAGGCAGCCGCTTAACCAACTGAGCCACGCAGGCATCCCTATTATTGTATTTTTAAGTAAGCTCCATACCCAGCGTGGAGCCCAATGCAGGACCTCAACTCCCGACCCCGACTGAGATTAAGATCTGAGCTGAGATCAAGAGTTGGATGCCTTAACCCACCGAGCCACCCAGGCACCCAGAGAATTTTAGCTCTTAAAAAAAAAAAAAAAAAGGTTGGGGTGCCCGGGTGGCTCAGTTGGTTGAGCGGCTGCCTTCAGCTCGGGTTGTGATTCCAGGGTCCTGGGATCAAGCCCCACATCAGGCTCCCTGCTCAGCAGAGAGCCTGCTTCTCTCTCTCTCCCCCTCTCCCTCACGCTCTGCTTACTTGTGCTCTCTCTCTAACTTTCTGTCAAATAAACAAATAAAATATTTTATTTAAAAAAAAAAAAAAAGGATGTTTTTCCTCGGTAACCTGAATATACTGTTTCCTTTTTCCCTGGGCCTACCTTGTTTCCTGGGATCCATGTTGTTTTTTTCTGCTCACTTGACATTGAAGTAGTGGAGGGGTAGTCGGGCTCCCCTAGCTTTGGGTATGAGTTGGCCTTGATCCCTGCAACCTCCTCCTGATGCTGCCATATTTATTTTCTTTATTGAAGTACAGTTGACACACAATATTGCATTAATTTCAGGTGTACAACATAATGATTCAGCAACTCTGTATGTTATGCTCACCACAAGTTAATATACAATGCTATTATGTTACCACTGACTATATTCCCTATGTGGTACCTTTCATCCTTGTGACTTACTCATTCCATACATATAATATCTTCTTTATCCATTCATCTATGAATGGACACTTAGGTTGCTTCCCTATCTCGGCTACTGCAAATAATGCTGTAATGAATATGTGGGTGCATATATCTTTTTGAATTACTGTTCTTCTTTCCTTTGAATAAATACCCAGCAGTGGAATTACTGGATTGTGTGGTATTTCTAATTTTAAATACCTGATGAAGCTCTGTACTATTTTGTGCAATGGCTAACCAATATACATTCTTATCAACAGTGCACAAGGGTTCTCTTTTCTCCACATCTTCAGCAACATTTGTTATTTCTTGTCTTCTTGATATTAGCCATTCTGAGTGGTGTGAGGTGGTATCTCATTGCAGTTTTGATTTGCATTTCCCTGATGATCAGTGATGCTGGACATCTTATCCTGTGGTCTGTTGGCATTGTTCCCAAATGTTTGAAAGAATTATTTACACTACTCGTTTCATCGAAATCTAGCTAGACTGTTTTATATTATTTAAAATTATAAATGCTTCCTTATTGACTTGAAATTTCAAAGTTGAGGTGACTTCGTGCTTTCCCATTTTAGCATTATGATTCTTTTTTGTGTGTATATTTGAAGAAATATGAAAATCCCTTATCACCCTTCTCTATGTGTGGAAAGTCAGATTTGTTTCCATTTGTTAATATGTAATGCATTTTTCAGAAATGTGAAAGATCTAGTCTTTGGGTTTTAAAATCCTTTAATATGTCAAGTCCTGATAATATTTCTAACCATCTGAAAATGATTGAATCAGATAAGAATCTGTTTTTCTTTCCTCTCATTATCACCCACCAGAACAACTCAGAGTTTTCACATATAGTAATAGTCAGTGTTCCTTTGGTAGTGATTATTTAAATGAGCAATTAATTCTAGAAAAGGTGATTTTTATTATATTTTTACTCTAGATGCTGATCATTGCACTGGACTTCAACTTGCATTTTTTTTTAAAGAAGGAGTTTTAGGGTGACTTTGGATATTAGCATTTTTCCCCAGGCTTTTTTGAATTTGAATGGTTAACCTTTTGACATGGAGTATTCCTTGGTGGGACTAAAAAATTTGAATAGCTAGCTGACCAACCTCTGTAACCTATAAATAGGCTAGACAGATGCTATACATTTCTAATACCAAAGTATTTTTAAAGGAGAGAGTTTTGAAAAATAGGAAATCCTAGCTATCAAATGTACAAAGATGAATGTTCTGAAAGAATTGCTGAATCATGAATGTAAAGCTGCTTGGCATATAAAGTAGGTGTTCCCATATCTTTAAAGTTTAACATGTGATCATTAACTTTTCATCATCTCTAAACATACCTAATCCTAGCTATCAAATGTACAAAGATGAATGTTCTTTTTTTTTTTTTTAAAGATTATATTTATTTATTTGACAGAGATCACAGGTAGGCAGAACATGGCCGGTGGGGGAGGGGGGGAGAAGCTCCCTGCTGAGCAGAGAGCCCTATGCGGGGCTTGATTCCAGGACCCTGGGATCATGACCTGAGCTGAAGGCAGAGCCTTTAATTCACTGAGCCACCCAGGCACCCCAAAGATGAACGTTCTGAAAGAATTGCTGAGTCATGAATGTAAAGTTGCTTGGCATATAAAGTAGGTTCCCATATCTTTAAACATGTGATCATTAACTTTTCATCATACTCTAAACACATATGTTCATTTCCTTTTCCTTTACATGTTCTGTTTTTCTTTTAAATTTTACAGATTTAAGCTATTTATAGGGCTTTGTGCAATTCTTTTCACATTTTCTTATGAATCTATCTTTCCATTATATTAGAAATGGGAACATTTTTGAAAAGATGACAAAACAATATAGGAGAGAAAAGATGAGTAATATACATTGAAAATATTTCTCATAAGCATCCAAAAAAGAAATATATATACATATATAAAAGCAGACATCAAAAGAGTATGTAAATGAGAGGATATAAACTTTGTTAACAAAAAAAAAAAATACAAAACTACAACAAATAAACATAAGTATCAGAAAAAAAAGGAAATATACTAACATTTAGCAGGGATTACCTAGAGTGGTATGATAGGTTTTTATTTTGTATTTTTTTCTTCTTTTTTCCTTCTGTGTTTTCCAAAACCTTCAGCAATGAGTATTGCTATTTATAATTAGGGAAATGTGTTTTCAAAAGAAAAAAATACTTCTCATATCACTGCCCCGTAAATAGCATATCCAGTTTTTAAGATGATCCAGTCAAGGTCTTATAAGAAACATGAGTATTTACTGTCTGTAACCTGATACTTGTCTTCTATCTTTCCTGCAGCACAAAAATTCTTTAAATAGTGACCCTAGGAATGGGTGGAGGTGGGGAGGGGCTGAGAAGCGGGCTCTCATTCTGTTTTTGCTGAAGTAACTAAAATCAGATATGAAGCTTTCACAAATATTTAGTTTGCCAGAACTATTAACTCTTGTATACTACAAAAAACTAGTTAAAATAGTATTTAAGTCCCTTACTGCTTTTGATGTTTATGATATGTGGCCTTTACAATGTGAAATTAGTAAATTGACTTCCTGGCATTTCTGATTGCTAGACCCAGGAATTCTAAAAATGACACAAATTATCTGAAAATTTTAATTTAAACAAACCATATTTTGGTATTGTATACCTTTCATTTGGATAACTTGAAATAAAAATTAAAATACCTAAAATAAGTTCAGGGGTACCTTTATTTGTATAATACCTTTAATTTATTTTAACATAGGATGCCTAATGGCTATAATTATCTTTGTTTTTTTTTCACCTACAGTAGAGTGAATAAATATGTAGTTATGACCTGCTATGCTGAAATAATTGGTTTTTGAATCCACTTAGCTTCTTAAAAGGGAAATAAAACTGGGAGAACCAGAAGGAAAAGGAATAGTTAATCCTGGAGGAGGAGAAAACCTAGCTCAGTACTTTGACTAGAGGCAGCTGGGGAAGTGACGTCCTGTAGCATTTGCTGTTCTAGAAAGTACAGAGACACGTAGTGAAAATGGGAGGATCTAGAAGGAGGCCGTCTCCTGTGTAGTGTATATTTATCTGTAAGTGAGCCTTTGGGGAAGGAATTAAATACAGAGACGCGGTTTGCTTGCTGCCTTAAGACAGCGAAGCTGAATTGCTGATTTGCTTTAACTTTTAAAATACCCAGCTTGGTTTATTTTTCTTAGAATCATACTGCTAAGACTGGGGACGCTGTTTTCTTTCACAAAGGGAAATCTAAGTTCATTTCAAGGCATTCGAAATGGGGAAAGACTATTATTGCATTTTGGGAATTGAAAAAGGAGCTTCAGATGAAGATATTAAAAAGGCTTACCGAAAACAAGCCCTCAAATTTCATCCGGACAAGAACAAATCTCCTCAAGCAGAGGAAAAATTTAAAGAGGTCGCAGAAGCTTATGAAGTATTGAGTGATCCTAAAAAGAGAGAAATATATGATCAGTTTGGGGAGGAAGGTAAGTATTCCTTGTATGTCTTTTGGTCTCTCTGGCTCTGTCTCACTCTCTCTCTTTTTTCCCCTCTCTTTCAGCCTACTGGTTATCTTTAAATTCTCAGACATCAAAAGTAGAAAGAAAAATAATGGATAACAATAAGATTTCATCTTTGAGCATCTGAATGAATATTATTACATAGCTGTGAATGAAATATACTTGTTTGCCTTTTTTAAATTTTGGCATTTTTAAATACATATTTATTCTGCCACTAGATTTATAATGTTAACATTGTGTATTTGAAAAGAAGCCTTACATTCCCATACTCATTAATGAATTGTGTCAAAAGTCTTATGCAACCTGTTTTGTATTCTAATGAATGTTCTGCCATAACCAGTATAAGCCCTTAAAATGTTAAGATGGCAGTACAAATTCTGGGTAGTTTATATTTTATTCACAAAAACAAAAGAAGTTTTTTTCTTTCTGATAGTAATTTAATTTAGATTGAACAAGAGAGAATAGTCTCTCTGAGAAGCAGAAGGCCCAGGCATTTAGCTCTAGTTGTTTTTGGCATTCCGCCTGGAGAGGAAAGAATTTTCCTGATGTCATAAAATACCAGAACAAGTTTTTAGCTTAATTGTAAACAGTAATTGTGTGCCAAGAAAATGAGATCTCAGAAATACAATTTTTGACCTAAAATGGCCACCTAGTTAGAATAATTATTAATTTACTTTTAGGTAACATTTCTTTGGAAATTTTACTATCTAGGTATAGAGGAAAGCATGACAACTTCCCTTTCCTCTCCCTGCCATACTTTTGTTTCTTTCATTGTGAGATCAGAAACTAGTTGAATACAGTAAATGAGGGTTATTAAGATTATCCTTTTATCATTCTGTATTTTAAATTAAGTTTGTCCATCATTTCCATATAAATGTAGCTATAAGGTAAGACTATTTTAAATTGCTAATTAACAGCAACAACAAAAACACTTTAATTCCTACAGATTCTGAGATTTTCAACATTTTGAATCAGGACTAAGTTACTTCATTAATTTTTTCTCCCAAAATATTCTTTTAAATCATTGTATCATTCTTTGCCGCCTTTATCACATTTAACATAAAGTTTTCTTAATCAGAAATATATCCTAATTTACAGTGAAGCAGTAACTACTCATTTTGAGTTAAAAAACTAAATTTATATAAGCAGATTGATTGTGTAAAGGGTTTTTTTTTTTTTTTTCCCCTCTTCCTTTTTTATTTGTTTTGTTTTTCTTTTTGATCTGAGTAGCCAAAAATTGCAATTTCTGTTCTTGGTTTTGGTGTGATGAGGACCTGCAGTGTCAGGTTCTTCCAAAGTCAATATTGAAAAAGGCAAGTAATGGCCAGTTCAATTCTGCTTGTTCCTTATGGCTGTACTAATCAAAATACTATGATTCGGTTCATTTCGAAAGCTAAGCAGGATTCTGAGGTACTACAAACAATATGCTCTTTCTAAAAAGTTATTTGTAATTTTGTAAGGGAATCCACAACCATTCCCCCTGAAAAAGCAGATATCCACTGCTTAAACCACATCTCATTGATAGCTCAAGTTTGTTTATAACTAAGCCGTAGAATTCAGTATTTTCTAAGGATATTTATCTTCAGAATTTTCAAGTCATCAGATGATACATTTTTCTTAACATTACCTCTTAATAGTTTTTTCCTTGAGTGCTGTTTCTCTAGTTTGATGCTTACTGATCATTATCAGTGGATGAATTTTTTTAAAAATGAAAGCAATGTCATTTGTGTACCCTGAATTTTTTTTTTTGGTTCTTGATTCAGATAACTGATACAAGCAATAGAGGTAATAGGGAACAAAAAGTGCTTTAAAGCACTGAAACCTGAAATTCAGAAATATTCTCTAGTTATGAGTGACTTCAGAATATAGTTAAATGAAAATTATTTGGTTAATTTTTAAAAATTATTCTTCCTTTACAGAAAAGCATTATGTTTATTTGCTCTTTATTCAGAATAGTTCATTTATACTTTGGGAAAATCCCTTTTAGGTATACTGTTTTAATGTGGAAAAATATTTTTTTTGTCTTTGCCTTTCATTGGTCAGTTTGTGCCTGCAGGCCTGGTCCCATCACCCAATGTGTTCTCCAGTAGTAACGGAACATGGAATTTAAGGACTGTGGAGCTATTAGTAACTTATGTAATATACTCCTTAACACCCCCCCGCCCCATTATTACACTGTCTTTCAAGGCGTGGGACAGTGGGTACAGAAACCATGAACTGTGACGTGTATGAGCTGAACAAGCTAAACTTACATAGTTAGAAAGTAAGAGAGGGGCCCCTGGGTGGCTCAGTTCGTTAAGCGACTGCCTTCAGCTCAGGTCATGATCCTAAGAGTCCCGGGATCGAGTCCCACATTGGGTTCCCTGCTCAGCAGGGAGTCTGCTTCTCCCCCTGACCTTCCACTTCTCATGCTTTCTCTCTCTCGCTGAAATAAATAAAATCTTCAAAAAAAAAAAAAATAGAAAACCAGTGATCCAGTTTATTCATGTTTTGAAAATCTGTAATATCCACAATTTTAAAGGTTGGGTTTAAAAAATTTTGGATAAAAATAGAGATGTTTTAAATTTACCATATGACCCAGCAGTTCCACTCATAGGCATCTATAAAAGAGAATTGAAAACATAGATCCCCAAAAAGACATGTACATGAATGCTCAGAGCAGCATTATTTGTAATGGCCCCAAACTGGGAACAATTTTAAAGTACTATCATTAAGTGAATGGATAAACAGAAAGTGGCATATACGTACATGTACCCACACCCACACACATGCACACACACGTACACCCTAGAATACTACTTAGCAATTGAAAGCATTGATTTCATAAAACATGCTACAACATGGATGAACTTAAAAACTATGCCAGATAACAGAAGTCAGATTGTCAAAGGCTACATATTCTATGATTCCATTTATATGAAATGCATGGAAAAGGCACAGTCATAGAGAAAGAAAGCAGATCAGTGAGTTGCTTAGTGCTAGAAGTGGGAGCAGAGGTTAGCTACAGATAAAAATTAAGAAAGCTTGTTGGGTTGAAAGAAATGATCTATAACTGGGCTGTGATGATGGCTGCAGAACTCTACAACTTCACTAAAATCACTGAATTATATATTTGCAATGGGTTAATTTTACAATATATAAGAAATAAAGCTATTTTTAAAAAGGGAGAAATGTTCTCCATACTTGAACCATTTGAAAACAAAAAAATAACTACATAAATTTAAAATTGGATTTTGAACCTGTCTCTCCCAGAAAGTTTCAGGTTTAGTTCTGAATTGTTCAGTGGATATGAACAGAAGTTTGCATTAAAAGACTGAAAAAAAAATTTTAGTAACACATCCTTACAGTATCCTAGTTCTCTAACATTTCTTTTTCTTTATGCCCTTTTTTTTTTTTTTTGGTTTATAGTTTACTCAATAACTTTCATTAAATACTGAAAGGTAGTATTTAATGATCAAACTTGTGTTCAGTCTATTAATCTATACCAGCTTGCTTCTTTAGTTCTTTAGTTTACATAGTTAACCAACTATGTATTTTCAAAAATAAGTTGGATTTTTGTGAGTCAAAGCTGCTTAAAGGATCTCATTATGCTAGTAACTCTGTACGTCTTGCTATAAATCTATAGATTTTTACATATCAGATCTCCTTAAAGTAAGAGTTATTAAAATCCTAATTTTTTTTTCTTTTAAGTCCTAATTCTTCTCCAGTGCTGCTGCTTTTGACACACTTTCAACTAACTAGTGGAAATCATGGTTATAGATTGTATACCGAACATATATTTGTTTTTGGATTGCAAATTGGTTGGTTGGTTTTAAATAATAGCAGTCTTTCTATAGCATAGGCAAATGTTGATTCTAGAGCATATTCCTTGACACGCAAAGTGATGATGGTGTCTAGAAAACATTTTGGAGAGCAGAGGGAATCCAATTGAATATTAAAAACTTTCCACAAGCAGTCAAAACATATGTAATAAAGAGTAGACTGTATGGTTGATAACATGCTTGGTACAATTCAAGTGCTAGGCAAGGCAGTCCTTGCATAACAATTCATGTTATATTGTTGTGACTTTTGGTAGGATTTTTTGCAGTCATTATATAGTAGTCTTGTCCTTTATTAAGCTATGTACTTGACTGTTTAGTGTCAAGGAAAACGTCGAAGTTTCATTGGAGCCTTCCCGTCAGCTTTGATAAATGTCACTTCAGACTGTGAATCTTCTCAGGGACTCTGTAATCCTGATTGAGTTACCAATTTTGGCAGAGGAGGGAAGAGGTTTTAGGGAAAACCCAAACCCATAATAAAAAAAAACTTAAAATGTTATTCCTTCTTTTCATGAATTTATCATGAGTCCAAAACATTTAGATATTGACTTGTAGAGAGTGAGATTGGGCAAGCTAATTTACTCAATTTATGTTATTAACTCTCTGTTAAACTATTATACTCCATTATATTTGTGGGATGAAAAATAAAATGATTAAAGTAATTTAAGCATTGGTTTAATCACATTGATCATGACCTTGAGTTATATACTTAAGCTATCATTTGTAAAATTCTGTCTCTAGCTTTTTTTTTTTTTAACATTTGGAGTTATAACTGAACTGCTAAAATTTATAAAAAGAAATTTGTATGAGCTGCATGTTTAAAGTCCTTGTTCTGCTTTTGCTGGTCATTCTGTTTCTATAAGGGATATCCTAACTGCTCTTTGGATATATCATTTAATACATATTTTGACAGTTTACAGATTATTAGACTTTTCTTGGTCTTTCCAGATTTCTGTTCATGGATGAAGGTAAAAATGTAAACATCAGCTGAGACTGTTGGATGACACAGAATATATGTATACCTTTTAATAGAAGAAGACAAATAGAATAAAACATACAAAACTAAGTCTCTTTGAAAGCATGTTGAGTATAATTTTATTATTAAGTCTCAACTGTGTATGTGTGGTTATACTTTATATTTATATTGCTATATATTATACTATATATTGCTTTTGCTTTTGCTTTTGCCTCTTTTCTATCCTGATACTCAAGACACCTTTTAAAGTTTAAATAGACTTTAAGAACCAGTTCATTCTCTATTCAATAAATACAAGCACCTATCATTTTCACCCTGTATATGTGAGCAATGCAAAAATGAATTAAAATGTATTTCCTGCCCTCAAATTACTATTTGAACATATTAGAATCACTTAGTTTAATCTCTAGGACTTATCACAGTTTTAAGATTTTTAGATTTTCTTCCTGCTTGTTTCCTTTGTCAGGAACTCCTATAACAGTCATTCAGAATCTTTGCTACTACTGTAATGATATAAATTCTTGTCAGTATTGATCCCTTAAAGGATCACTATACTAATGTTTTATGGGTTTTAATAGAAACTTGCTTTGGTATGTAACAGAAAATGCTAATTCCAAATATGTGATTGCTTGTGAGCTACATATTACTTAGCCGAACCTTAAAGAATAGGGTCGAACGTCACTGTCTTGGTGTCTGAAGTGAGTTGTCCACAATAGGCAGAAATTACCAGTCCAAAGGACTAACATGTCAAAAGAGTTTACAGTGCTTGATTTTAATCTTCTTTTTACATACTGTTGAAATTAATGCCATCACATGGTAAGCCTATATAAACAATTTTGTTAGCTAGAATAGGGATAATAATTTTGGAGTCTAAAAAAACATTTTTCATACAGTGTCCTATTATTAGAATTTTTTCCCTTTCTGCCACAGAAAGAGTTCATTTTAATTAACTCTTCAGTAAAAGTACTGAAATAAAGCTAGTTAGTATGAAGATGGTATTTTATATTGTTGATTATGCTCACTGATTGTAATGGCACTTAATGATTTAGGTCATGCATTTTGCATTGATTACCAAAAACCTATTTCAATTGACATCTTTTGAAAACTTACATTTCTATGCTTTAGATTATCCAACCAGTAGTTTATGAGATAAGAAGTTTCCGGTTTTATTTTATTTACCAGTGGAACAAAGATTCAGGAATAAATTGTCACTAAACATGGGGATTTGGAGGAAGAATTTGAAAGCTAAAAGTTGACCTTAGGATGGAATGGTCAAAAGTTACGTAGCTGTTCTGCATTTAGTCATAATGGCATTTCTGGCCAATTTATTAATAGATTGTAACCTAAGTTGGCCAAAGTTTGTTAGTAATACAGTTTTTACAAATTTCACTTTCAAGAGTTGCAAGCTTTTTCCTAATCATGTTTATTTGTTCGTTTAGGATTGAAAGGAGGAGCAGGAGGCACTGATGGACAGGGAGGTACCTTCCGGTACACTTTCCATGGAGATCCTCATGCCACATTTGCAGCATTTTTTGGAGGTTCCAACCCCTTTGAAATTTTCTTTGGAAGACGGATGGCTGGTGGTAGAGAGTCTGATGAAATGGAAGTAGATGGAGATCCTTTCAGTGCTTTTGGATTCAGCATGAACGGATATCCAAGAGACAGAAATTCTGTGGGGCCCTCCCGCATCAAACAAGATCCTCCGGTTATTCATGAACTTAGAGTATCACTTGAAGAAATATATACTGGTTGTACCAAACGGATGAAGATTTCTCGAAAAAGGTTAAATCCTGATGGAAGGAGTTATAGATCTGAGGACAAAATTCTCACCATCGAGATTAAAAAAGGGTGGAAAGAAGGCACCAAAATTACTTTTCCAAGGGAAGGAGATGAAACACCAACTAGTATCCCAGCAGACATTGTTTTTATCATTAAAGATAAGGATCACCCAAAATTTAAAAGGGATGGATCAAATATAATTTACACTGCTAAAATTAGTTTACGAGAGGTAAGTTAGTAGGACTTGGGATTCTGAAACCAAACAGAATTATGCCTCCATTCTTAGGGAATGTATCTAAATAATAACTAATATTTATTAAATGTTTAGTACACATTATTTTTTAAGTTCTCATAAGAACCCTCCAGAGGTGGGGCACCTGGGTGGCTCAGTCATTGGGTGTCTGCCTTCAGCTCAGGTCATGATCCCAGAACCCTGGGATTGAGCCCCGCAACGGGCTCCCCGCTCAGCGGGAAGCCTGCTTCTCCATCTCCCATTCCCCCTGCTTGTATTTCCTCTCTCTCTATCAAATAAATAAATAAAATCTTAAAAAAAAAAAAAAAGAATGCTTCAGAGGTAGTACTACTATTATACCTCTTTTATGGATAAGATTACATTTTCTAAGTTTAGTTACCTATACTAACAATTTAAATGCCAACTTGAAGTGCTAACCAGATTATGTACTAGGAAGCCTAATACTGGCTTTACACTACTCAAATTTTATAGGTATGGTTTATGAGCTGTGCATTGTAATTGAAGTCGATGTATAAGATTTTTTCTAAAATTGTTAATTTGGAGTAATAATTATATAACCAAAAAGATACTAATTTAAAATAATTTATAAGCATACTGCTTTAATATGAGTCCTTATTTGTTCTATTTTTAGACATCATTTTTCAAATTGGATTATAATCCTGCAAAAATGGCCATGTCAGTTATCTGCTTAAAATGCTTAAATGATCCCACATACTGTCTACCATAAAGTCCAGACATTTAAGCTTAAAATGAAAGGTCATTTTCAATCTGATTTCTACCCATAAATGTTTATGCATTTCCCTAAGTTTGCTCTATTATTATCTTATATACATTTATGTCATCGTCTGAGTTCTAACCTTTGGAGCACTGTTGTTCCTTACTCTGCCTTGAAACCTGCTACGGGTTTAATGTTTAGCTCAAGTATTCTGTACTCTCAGAAGCTAAGGGGGGTAAGCTGGGTGCTCTCTGTCTCACAAAAGACTTCTGCACCTCTGTGCTAATGTTACTGTATTATTATTCCTGGTTTGCTCCTGAGTTCCTTGAGCATTCCCTGGGGTGGGATCTGTGTTCATGGTCCCTAAGCTCAGTATCTAGAAGGAATATGTGGCATATAGTAGCACTCAGTAAACATTTGTTGACTAAACTAATAAAATGTATTTCTTATCCTAACATTTTTCCTTCCAAAGAAGTAGGTAGTTGCTCTTATTCTAATTCCTCTCACTCCTAAATTTCTCCCTCTTTTCTTGTCCAGATCCATCCCGGCATCTTGAATGTTGTAACGGCAACCTCCATTTCATTTCAAGACAATGTGGAAGACCTCCTTTACTTCTTTCCTTTCCTTCCCTTTCCCTTCGCCTTTCCTTCTTTTGTAGTGTGTCTGATCATGCATGACCTGAAGGGATTTTTTTAATAGGGGAAAAAGTCTTAAAATTATTGATATGCTTTTGGAGGTTAAGATTTTACCTTATGGTTTCATCCTTTATACCGAGTTTTGTTGTTGAGTTTTTGAAGTTCTGAAGTTTGTTAATTTTATTTGGTCTATTTTAGGCATTGTGTGGCTGCTCAGTTAATGTGCCAACAATGGATGGAAGAACCATACCTATGTCAATAAATGATATTGTGAAGCCTGGAATGAGGAGAAGAATTATTGGATATGGGCTGCCATTTCCAAAAAATCCTGACCAGCGTGGTGACCTTCTAATAGAATTTGACGTGTCCTTTCCAGATACTATATCCTCATCATCCAAAGAAGTACTTAGGAAACATCTTCCTGCCTCATAGAATGAAAAACTTTGTTACCCATATTTTGATAAGGCACTGAAAATATAAAAGGACTGGCAGTTTACTGATGTAGATGTGAATTCTGTATAAAGATGTGTAAATTATCTTGAGGATTCATTAAATTGCATGAATAGAGACGGGTCAAATAAATAGGCAAAAGGGATTTTTACAGTTAGAGATGAAGACACAACCGTTCACTGTATTTTATTTCATTTCTCCCAAATCAGAAATTTTTAGTATTTTGCTTACATGTAAAATTGTTTTTGTGGAGTTAGTGGATATATTTCTAATAAAGTGCTAGACTATCCAAGTACTTTATTTCTTTTATTTTTACATTGTCAGTATGATAGTTTCTCATTTTTAATGGAAATTTAAGTTCTTAACTCACCTACACATGTGATATATATTTCTAGAAAATAAAAACCCAAGTAATTTGGAAATATGGTTAACTAGATTTAAATCTCCAACTGAAATGTTGCTATAGGGCTGGGACCCATAAAAGAATATCCTAATGCGTATATTTTACCATTTTGGTTTTTAAAGTATGCTGTAGCATTTTTCTTAATAACATGGTTGTAATGTTCTTAAGGCACACCTTTTCATCATAAAGAGTAAATTAATGGCAATTTATCTCCTGTGGAAATCCCAATTGCCTGAATTACTGATATTTTAGAAATAGGCTGTTTTTAAAATGCCATATGTAATTTTATGCAAGTTGACTATATATCTTGGACTTAATAAATTATAGGCACATTTTATTGTCCACTAGTTTAAAATAACTTGTTTAATAATAAATGTGTTTTTAGAGGAAATATGTTACTTGGAATTAATTTTCCAATTACACAATCTTCTATAACTTACTCATCATATGCTATATGTATCTTATGCAATTTCCCTAAAAAGAATAAACTACCACTATGGTGTTAAACCAAAATATGGGGAAAAGAAACACTAACTGCTGCTTATGAATGACATTGCTACTACTTGTTATGCATATAAATATTTTACTTTTTCATATGTATAGATTGCATTTCTTGGGTGTTTTAATTTTTTAAATATATTTACGTTTAAAAATTATTTTGCTTTCTTTCTTTTTTTTTTTTTTTGACCACAGTAAGAATGATGTCTTGAAACAAAGTTTTTGGTTCAAAAGTAGCTTTTAAGATGACTGATCTATGTACAAGGTACACTGGATCCTATCACCTTTCAGTAGAGTACGAGGATTCTTTTAGAGATATAGTAAATGGGCTCTAATCACTACATACTTTATAGCCTTACTGCATTGTAACTGACATGCCATAAAGCTTAGCTTTTTAAAAGTATATCGTTCAGTGGTTAGTATATTCACAGAGTTGTGTAACCACTAAATCAGAACATTTTCATTACCTGAAAAAGAAACTCCATATCCATTAGCACTCACTTCCTATTCTTCAGTGTCCGGGGATTACAAATCCACTTTCTCTCTCTACAGATTAGTCTATTCTGGGCATCTAGTACAAATGGGATCAAAGAATATGTGGTTTTCTTCCCTCAGCCTCTCTCACTTAACATCATGTTTTCAAGTACATCCATGTTGTATCATGTATCAGTATTTTGTTCTTTTTTACGGCCAAATAATGTTCTGTTCTATGGAGATAACCATGTTTTACTTTTACATTTATTAGCTGATGGACATTTAGGTTATTTCCTCTTTTTGGCTGTTGTGAATAATGTTGCTATGAACTTTTTTTTTTTAATAAGATATGATTTTTTCTCTTTCTTTTTCTTAAAGATTTTTATTTATTTGACAGAGGTCACAAGTAGGCAGAGAAGCAGGCAGAGAGACAGGAGGAAGCAGGCTCCCCACTTAGCAGGGAACCTGACTCGGGGCTCGATCCCAGGACCCTGAGATCATGACCTGAGCCTAAGGCAGAGGCTTTAAACCACTGAGCCACCCAAGCACCCCACTATGAACATTTTTGCACAAGTTTTTGTGTACATAACTTTTCTATTTTCTTGGGTATATACATCTAAGAATAGAATTGCTGAGACTAAGCATATGCTTTAGTTGTAAATGGAACCTGGCTGGCTCAGTTGGTAAAGCATGAGACTCTTGATCTTGGGGTTGTGAGTTTGAGCCCCATGCTGGGTGTAATGGTTACTAAAAAATTAAAAAAAGAAATTGTTAAAAATGCCAGAGAATTCAGCTAATCATACTTACTAATCCACCTAATTCATAAATAATCCCTTTATTATTTTGTTCTCTGAACAACAGTTTAAACTCTTAGGAGGGGCGCCTGGGTGGCTCAATTGGTTAAGCATCTGCCTTTGGCTAGGGTCATGAATTCAGGGTGCTGGGATGGAGCCCCACATTGGGCTCTCTGCTTGGTGGGGAGCCTGCTTCTCCCTCTCCCTCTGCTGCTCCCTCTGCTTGTACTCTGTCTCTCTGTCAAATAAATAAATACAATCTTTAAAAAATAAAACTCCTTAGGGAAGTATGTCACAAATATTTTCTCACAGGTCTAAAGAGCTGAAAAGCATCAGTCAAGAGTGGTGGATGTGGTTTCCATACTAAACTCACTGTCATTTATTGCAATTTTTTTGATTAAGCATTTTCTCCCAAGTTAAATAAAGGATTTATAGACTAGGTAGATAGATAATCTTTGGATTAAAAAGTATTTTTTTTCAAGGTTTTATTTATTTGACAGACAGATCACAAGTAGGCAGAGAGGCAGGCAGAGAGAGAGAGAGGGGGAAGCAGGCTCGCCGCGGAGCAGAGAGCCCGATGCGGGGCTCGATCCCAGGACCCTGAGATCATGACCCGAGCTGAAGGCAGAGGCTTTAACCCACTGAGCCTCCCAGGTGCCCCTAAAAAGTATTTTTTGAAGTACAGAATTATTCTTTTAGTATAAAACAATTAATTTTCATTGCTATATAGAAACAGTATGCCAGTATCTTTCTTGCCTTAAAGAATACTGATAATGCCTTAGCATGTAGTTGGTTCCCAATTTTTATATGTTGAGTGCTGAATTAATGTAAAAATAGAGTTTGAAGTTTTCTTATTTATGTAAATTGTGAAAGTACTTTTGGTTTTATTTATTTATTTAGTACTTTTTATTATTTTTTTTAAGATTTTTTGTTTATTTATTTGACAGAGATCACAAGTGGGCAGAGAGGCAGGCAGAGAGAGAGAGAAGGAGGCAGGCTCCCTGCTGAGCAGAGAGCCCGATGCGGGACTCGATTCCAGGACCCTGAGATCATGACCTGAGCCAAAGGCAGAAGCTTTAACCACTGAGCCACCCAGGCGCCCTATTTAGTACTTTTGATTTTAAAAAAATGGTCTCTTTCAACGTCGAACTCGGATACCCGAAATAGTTTGGCAGTGTTGGAGATGGTAGTAAGCTCGTTGATAGAGATGTTTATCTTTCTTACCAGAAAAACCAGATTGCTTATGTTTTATAATTAGGATGTCTTTTTTTTTTTTTTTTAGATTTTATTTATTTATTTATTTGACAGAGAGATCACAAGTAGATGGAGAGGCAGGCAGAGAGAGGGAGAGAGAGAGAGAAGCAGGCTTCTTGCTGAGCAGAGAGCCCGATGCGGGACTCGATCCCAGGACCCTGGGATCATGATCTGAGCCGAAGGCAGCAGCTTAACCCACTGAGCCACCCAGGCGCCCTATAATTAGGATGTCTTTAGGCAAGGTGTGAACTGTTGTGTTGTCACTGACCTAACAATCTCAACTGTGTTATATGAAGCCACTTCACACATTTAGTTCATTTACTTCACTGCCTCTGAACGCATCTGAGTTTGTGACCTTTTATCTTTTAGCTCATTACTCCTGCCTATTATTATCCTTTCTTGGGGGCAAGGAATTGAAAATACTTTTGTTTATTTTTAAGAAAAAAAATAACTAGTTATGATGGAAAAAATGAAATTAATATATGTGATTAGACTTGGTAAATGGCTTAGAAGTAATTATTCTTGTATTCCAAGGACTATTAACCTCACAGTGTTAAGCTTAAACATTACCCAGAATCTAATACAATAGTTATGCAACAGTGTGTAGTGTAGTGTACTTACCTATATACTTGGCTTTTATACATATATATTCCCACTTTATGGAGAATTATAGAAAGAAATGTGGTTTGTTACTTTTACATTATAGCTTCATCAATATTTATTTGATTAGACAAGTTCTATAGATTGAGTATTTCAAGCTTTTTATCATTTTTTTCTGTGATTTTTTAAATTCATAAAATTCATAAAAGTTTTGGAGCTGGGAGAATTTTAGAGATCACATTTTCTAGATGAGGAAGTAAACCCGGAGATGCTAAGTGACTTGCCTATAGCTAAAACGCAAGCTTGTAAGGGAATTCTGACCTTGTTTCTTATTTTCTGTAACAGTTCCTATTAACATGTTATGATGTCCCCTGTTGTTAAATTTCCAAGATTTAACAGATTCTGTTAAAGTACATTTACCTACTTCTTCGTGTGATCTGTATAATTCAGCACATTTGAAATATTTTGAGTCACTTGTGAACATGTAGAATATGAATCTATAATTTGATGGTGTTAACTAGAAAACTTGAAAGATTAGTTATGAAAACTGCTATTTTTTTAAGAAGGGAATTAAGAGCTCAGAATTGAAATGTATTCATCATTAACTTAAAAAAATGTATGCCAAAAAAATGTATGCCAATGTTATTCTCAGAATACTTCAAGGCCACATCTGATCTTTTAGATAAATAATATAAATTAAATTAATACTTTTCCAAGTAAAAAAGTTACTATCCAAAATATGTGATATTCTATCATTGTAAAGAGAGATAGAGGAAAGAGGTATTGAGAGGAGGAAGAGGAGGGGAGGAAGAAAAAAACCACTGCAGCTTTTACTGAGAAAAATTTTTAATGAGTACAATGCTTATGGAAGCTCTATAATCATTTGGAAATACAGTAATCTCTCCCAAACTAAAAATTAATAGGTACATCTCTGTAGCCTTTAGAAATTTGGCTCGTGTGAATGCAGTTCTTGAGCCATTCTTATAGAGAAAATTGTTTTCAATTTTTTTTCTTATTTTAAGTAAAATCTATGCCACACATGGGACTCTAACTCATGACCCCAAGATCAAGAGTCGTGTGTTCTATTGATGAAGCCAGCCAAGCTCCTGTCTTATAAAGATAATTTTAGAAAGAGGAAACTGGAGGTTGGATAAAGGAAAGGAGAGGAAAGTAAATGGCAGAGGAAAGTAAGTTTTGGATACAGTCTTAAACATGAGAAATAAAACTGGAGGCAAAGAACTCCATTCCTGTTTCTGTTAAAGGGATGGCACTGAGATGAATATGAAATGAATATGAATATGAAAAATCTGGACAGGAAGTAGTATTAAGTTACATGTTATGTATTAGAGAAAAGCTTGAGAGATATTTACATTAAAAATTGTTTTTAAAGATTCTTATTTATTTGTTTGGCAGAGATCACAAGTAGGCAGAGAGGCAGGCGGGGGTGGAGGGGTGGGAAAGCAGGCTCCCCACTGAGCAGAGAGCCCAATGCGGGCTCAATCCCAGGACCCTGGGATCATGACCTGAGCCAAAGGCAGAGGCTGAACCCACTGAGCCACCCAGGTGCCTCCATTTTTTAAAAATTTTTAAAAACTTTTATTTATTTATTTAATAGAAAGAGAGAACACACTCAGGGGGAGTGGCAGGCAAGGAGAGGGAGAAGCAGGCTCCTGCAGAGCAAGGAGCCCAACGCAGAACTCCATCCCAGGGACCCTGAGATCATGACCTGAGCCAAAGGCAGACATTTAACTGACTGAGCCACCCAGGCACCCCTACATTTTAAAATTTTTTATTAAGTTAAAAGTTAGACAATATTAAGAGTTTTTTTTTTTTTTTTAAGATTATTTATTTGAGAGAGAGAGAAGACAAGAAGTGGGAAAGGGGCAGTGGGAGAGGAAGAAGCAGACCCCCGGCTGAACACAGAGCTCAATTCTGGGCTCCATCCCAGGACTGAGATCATGACCTGAGCCGAAGGCAGACACTTAACTTACTGAGCCTCCCAGGCACCTGTAGAATTTACACAATATTTTAAATCA